AGTAATTTTCAGTATTGATACACACTGAAAGCTGGGATTGATGCATTTACACACAGCTAATTTATCTTTGTTAGCCTCTTTTTGAATTAGCTATCCCCAGGTTTTCAAAGAAACTTCTACTATACTTACTAACTTTCTAAAATAGATGTTATTGCCAGGCTCCACAGAGTCTCTCATAGGAAGAGGTAGATAAAGAATGAGCTTTACTTCACCTTGCTCTGTTAGTCTTACTAGTATATGCCACTTCCACACACCATGCCTACTTTCACATAACACCACAGGACATGAGAGAGGTGATTACTTTCACCAAAAGCATCAGTGATTAGCCTCCCACAATTTCTTACTTTGTCAGACAGGAACTTTTTATGAAGCCTTCCAATCTGTGAGCTTTCTATTTCAACCTTCCAAATGCCAGGATTATAGGTGTACACCAGCATGTCCATTCTCACCTTGACTTTTAAGATTTGTTTGTTTTGAAATAAGGTAGCCTTGCACTTGCAATATTATAGTTGTATGCTGAGTTGTTTTAACATTTGAAATCTATTATTTTCACTTAAGAAAAGTATCTAATAAAGGTTTCTCATAGTTAGCCCTGGCAATAAAATTAAAGGAACTAACATACTTCCAAAATGGAAGTTATCATCTTTTATATTAGGTGTTCCTTTTCTTAAATAGTAACAGCTTTAACTGATTAGAAGTAAGACATGCCAATCATTTCTCTTTATGCACACAAAGTCTCTGAAGAGACATCTGGACTATTCACAACTCATCCCAGTGAAAGAAAAGGAAAGTAACTTTTCTACCAATAACATATTGTAGCCTCAGTGAACAGACAAATTATACACCGGCTTTTGCAATGTCTACTTTATTGGGCATTTTGGAGAAAATGTGTGGTTTTTCATGTTCATGAATCCTATCATGTAAGTTTGTGGAAAAACTAATGGTGTTTTTTAGTGTTTTAAAATGAAACTCTAGTAAATAAAGTAAACATCATATGTTTACATTTATTATTGACCAGAACTTAATTTAGTTATGTTGGTTAATTATAGTCCATTTATATAAAAAAGAACATTTCATGGATATGTTTTTGACATTTCAAAATGGACACTTTGTCACTGTCACTAATAACTGATTCTCTTGTCTTAAGATTATTTTAGTAATGTTGAGTAGTAGAGTCTTGAATTTTGAAAAATCAATTTACATTTACGTTTAAAAAAGATTAATTTTATTTTTATGTGTATGCATGTGTACGTGTGTGTGTGTGTGTGTGTGTGTGTGTGTGTGTGTGTGTGTTTGTGCATGTATGTGTGGGTACCCATGGAAGCCAGAGTACCACATTCCTAGGAGCTAGAGTTATAAGCAGTTGTGGGTGCTATAAATTAAACCTTGGTCCTCTCCAAGAACAGTAAGTGCTCTTAACTGCTGAGCCATCTCTCCAGCACTTGTATTTAGTTTTAATAGATGTCATTTGCCCCATGTATATGAATAAGATTCCTGTAATTTTAAAGCTTCTGCAACTATACCCAGGTAACTATGTTAAAGATATTCTGTGTATCACCACAGTAAGATGCTTCCAAGGTCTTCATATTTTTTTTTTTTTTTGTAGAAAATCTTATCTTTTTCATGCTGACAGAACTTCCTCAGAATGTGTCTAAGAAGAATGTTTTAATGGAATCCTGCAGTGGAAGCCAAACTGCTAAGAATATAACCCATCCAGGAGGCCTTTTAGTTCCTCCAAAAGTTATAAATGAGCACATGCTTGCCATTTATAACAGCTATCACTATATTTCATACACTCTAAAATTTCATCCATTTTAAGACTAACCATTATTACACCAAGCACTGCAAATGATTGGTTCTGCCAGTCAAACTGGGACCTACATTTAAGTGAGAGCTGCTAAAACGAAGAAGGAAAAAGAACAAACCCAAAGCTGTCATCTTAGAATTGGTGCAATATGGTAGTTCTTTCCAGATCATGCAATAGCCTATGAGACTGACATGCTATCTGTGTGCTGATAGAGCACTCCATGCAACTATTCAGATGGAACATCATTTTGTAGATGGGTGGTGATGAATGATTAGTAAGTGCTACAGCAAAGTTTAACAGGAGAAGGGTGAGTTCATTCACTTTCCATCAATATTTCAATTACTTTTCTACAGATCTCATTCCCTTCTCTTCCTATCTAGTCTTTCCTGTGCAGATGAAAATAAGGATTTCAGAAAAGAATTTTAATACTGATTTTTTGTTTTGTTTTCCTAGACAGGGTTTCTCTGTGTAACATCCTAGGTGTCCTGGAATTCACTTTGTACTACAGGCTGGTCTTGAATTCATAGAATTTGCTGCCTTTGCCTCCCAAGTGCTGGGATTAAAGGGCATGCACCACCACTGCCCAGCTAAATATTGATTTATTATTTGTTCTTCTGTGCAAGTGACCAGCTGTCTATAAAACACCATTTCCTCGTCATGCAGCAACCACTTTCTGATTGGATTTCAGTTCCCTTCATGAGGTGGAACCCATATTTGGCACTTTTCTTAGGGATGAGGGGAAAAACCTTTGTTTTTCTGTACAAAACATATTTGTGTTTAAAAACTAAAGAAAATGTTGAAACTACCTAAGCTTTATGCAGAGCTATCTCTGCTCTTGACAGCGAGGCAGGACTGAGGAACTGTGTGAAGGCAACAGTGAAGAAAGCCCTCTTATTTGGTAGAGGGCTTTCTCTCAGAAGGACCCATGGATGGGCTTTTCAGGAGACAATTGTCCAGAAACTCACTTTGACTCTGCTGCCACGACGACATTATTAAGAATTTCATAATCATAATGTCTTAACCATGGTTACTTTAAAGCTTAGAACACTATTTCTAGAAGTCAAGAGACTTGGCACAACATTGGACAGTACAATCTATTTGATCTCACAAACCTGTAGGCAATCAGAAAGGGGACATTTCTTTTCTCTTGTATTCATCTGTACAGCTCACTGAGTACCAAATAAGTGCATAATGATCTTGTGCCAGTTGATAAGTAGCTACTCTGTATTCAAACCACTATGATTATGTTAGTCAATACTAATTATTCCGTGATCTTTCTCAGTGAAGTAAATAAAAATATACATCTTTTAATTGGCTTAAAATTTAGTAGGTAATTTTTTGTGTTGTTACTCAATACTGCTTAATTGAAAATGTACTGTTCTATATACACTACTGATGAAAATTTTCTAGATGTCAGATTATTTTATTAAAACATTTACAATTACTTTTTATTTACTTTGTGTGTGTGTGTGTTTGTGTGTGTGTGTGTGTGTGTGTGTGCGCGAGCGCGCATGAGTGTGCAGATGTATGCACCTGTCATGATGGTGTGTAGATGCTTTCACTATGTGGATCCTAAGGACTGAACTCAGGTTGTCAGACTTTACCGCAAGCATGCTTACCTGTTACCTGCTGACCTATCTAATCAGCCTTTTTAAATGATAAAAATACAGCATGACTTACATGATGGAGGCATATCAATATATCAGCTGATATGGCTCTAGTGAAGAAATGTTAATAATGGCATAACTGGGTGATATGTAGGTGAAGTTTTCCTTTCCCAACCACCTGCTCCCAAATAACTGACACAGAGGCTTAATATTGCTTATAAGTGCTTGGTTAATAGCTCAGGCTTGTTACTCATTAACTCTTACATTTAAATTGACCCCTCTTCCTTATCTAAGCTTTGACACGGTGGTTTGATACTTTTTCTCAGTATGGCATTCTCATCTTGCTTCTCTGCTTTAGCTGGAATTACATATGGCATTCCAACGTGTGGGTGAAATTTTCACATAAGAAAAAAAAATGATCCAAGATATAAAAGAATGGAGTCAAACATAGCTTCTTGGTAGCTGCAGCTTCTCAGGTATGCTGTTTGCTGGTGGTGAGCAGAGACATGGCTGCTTTAAGAGACAGCTTCCTTGCTCAGTGCTAATGTCAAAAGTGGTTAGCTCACTTAAGAGGCCTCACTACCAAACACTTATATGGTGTTTATGAGCAGCAGGTAGCATGCTACTTGGTGGCAGGATGGACCCAGAAACTTCTCAGAGTTGGGGAGGTAAACATGGCTCCCAGGTGGAGGTTAAATGTACCTCCACCATGAGACTAGACTTTCGGGGGACCAAGGGGGAGGAGTCAGCTGCCAACATGCCATGATCTAAGTTACACAGCACCTTTTCTTGCTCATGCAGACAAAAAATTTAACAGATGGGCAGTAAAGACAGATTCAGACAGAAAACTGAATTCTAAACAGGTTTCTCTGTGTTTAAAAATTTACATATGTTTAGGAGAAAAAAAAAGAGTAGAGGAAGTCCTTAAAAAAAGAGATAGAGAGAAGGGGCTAGAAATGGCTCAGAGGTTAAGAGCACTGGCTACTCTTCCAAAGGTCCTGAGTTCAATTCCCAGCTACCAAATAGTGGCTCATAACCATTTGTAGTGGGATCTGGTGCCCTCTTCTGGCCTGTAGGTACACATGTAGGCAGAACACTGCATCATCATCATCATAATAATAATAAATAGATAAATCTTCTTAAAAGAGAAATAGAGTAATAAGAAATATAATAAGCCACATACAGATGGAAAATACAGACAGTCTGGATTGTGTATGTGTTGTCTTCCATTTTTTGACTGCTAATGAGCAAATAATAATTGCCAAGAGACATTTGATTATGAAAGCTGCTGGATTAAACAACATATATATTTTAAAAATATCTTGACTTCAAAATTTAAGTCAAAAGGTATGTTACTTTGGGAAGGAGGCTATGCTTTCATTTCCACAGGAAATGTGAGGCTCTGGATTCAGTGATATATTGAGTAGGGTATTGCAGACCTTAGAGGTTGGCCTTCATAGGTTTGGTAATAGAGGCAGAGTATTGGTGGACACTATGCACTATTCAAATATACTCATATAAATATAGCATTATCAGCCCAGGGACATTCACTCCCAGGCATTAGGTTACACGGGATGAAAACTTACCCGGGCCTTCTGCTCCATTTCTAGCATTAACCTTTCGTGTTGCTCAGCTATGGCCAGTGTTGCAGAGTGCACTTTCTGATAGATCATTTCTCCTTCCCTTGTTTGAAAAGTGAATAGTCCTTCTCCCGTGTCACACATTCTGTGGGGGAAAAAAAAGAGAGAGATAAAAAGATGGGTCTTTGTGGCTTCAAGTCTGTCAACAGTTTCCACATCAGAGATGCCCTTCCTCTCAGGTTCCCTCTTCCGTGCTATTTCATTCTTGAACAAACCATCCAATATATGCATCTCTAAATGGTACATTAGGGAGAACTAAAGGTGAAAATCCAAGTGTGCTTGAGTTTTAAAATCATTTCCAAAAAGTGTGCAAGAACAAATACAAATGGTTTCGATATGCTTGCTGACCATGGGGTTTCCCTGCTGTCAGAAACAGCTCTGCTAGTATTCAGGAATCTGCACTGGCCTGCTTGTGGTGTCCTGACAGGATAAGCCCTCAGCTGCTGCCACTAAGAATACCACCTTATTGGGTACATCATTATGTTCCCTTTTAAAAGGACCCTGCCCACTTCCCATTCTGCCCTCCCCTCTCTTTCTCTGTGTTCCCCCCAACTCTCTCGCCTTTTCTTTCTCCTTCTGTTTCTGCCCTTGTAGGCCAGTCTTCCCCTCCTCTTTCTCTAATTAAAAAAAAACAAACAAACAAAGTTCTGCATGAACCATGTCACATGGTGCCTTTCTCTTGTTTGCTGCTTTTCTTAATTTACAACACCTAACATATGACTTACCTTTTGAGCAAAAACAGGACTTTTAATGCCTAACATAACACCCTATTTGAATTTAAGACTATTTTGTTTTAACATAGACTCTGCCAATAACAGGGGTGTAAATTTAGGCAAGATGCTCACTCAACCTGCCTATCTCTGCTATGTTTACAAAATAGGAATAATAGAATCAGTTCATATGATCTTAAAGGTTAAATAGTTGGTAAATAGTTTACAGTGTTGCCTAGGATACTCAGATTGTTAAATATTCTTAGCTCCTTTCATTATAAAGTTTAGAACTGATAATAATGAAAGTTTAGAGGTCACTGAATAAATACCTCCTCCAGAGAAAGGCTGAGTTGTTTTATTTTTTATGATACAAACAGTTATGCTTATATGTTATAAATTAGGAAGAAGTATAATGCAGTTAGTGCTATTGATGACAACATAATATTGAAATTCTTATTAGATATTATAGCAGAAATCTTAAAATCTATGTTCATTTCCAATTGATAATTACTTCATAAGACAGTCGTCATTGAAAATTATTAGACAATAGATTTACAGATCAGTTTTATTAATAAAGGCTAATTATAACTAAAATCTTATTTTAATTAGTAGTTTAGCCCAGCTTTAACCATAACTGAAGACTATCTATATCCATGTGATATTAATATTATAATATGAAGAACTAGCTGAGTTTCTATGCTGCTCGTTTTAAGTTGATATCACTGAAAGATTTACAGGTTACAACATCAAAATATTCATGAGACAAAAAGTATCAGACAATTTGGATTCTTCCGTATGACTCTCCAAGGGGATTTTAGTAGCAAAGAAATGTCTCAAGAGACTTCCAACAATGCCCAGGCTGTGACTGTCATCCCTCCAGGCCCATTCAAGCAGTACTTAGCTTCTGTGAAAGCGATCTTAATAAAATTCACATGGCGTGAAATGGAAAGTCTTGGGGAAAAAAATCGAGAGTTTTCACAAAGTGAAACAAATGAGCTATCTTTGTTGACGCAGGGTGTTTGGAAAATGCAAAAGCCACAGAAAAACCATTGATAAGTCCTGAGCACATCTTGTTTGAGATGGAGATTTTGTTCACTGTCAAGTGCAGCAAGACACTGCTTATTAGCCTCAGGAAATGAGATAATGAAGGCACAAATTGTTATTTCAGACTCAATCATTGAGATGTGAAATACTGGTTCCTGTCCACTCTCTGAGACTTAATTCTGCCCAGTAGGGGACTCTGAAAGCTTACAGACGGTTTCCCTAATTTTGGAAATAACTACAATTCACTTCCTTTTAGAAAGGAACAAGCATTTGAATGTATTACAAAAAGTAAAGAAACCTTCAGTACAAGGAAATTTTCTTCTGCACCATGATTATATCAGCCAAGGAGGAAGTTTAGATTCTTCACATGATGGGTTCAAGCTTATTGCTCTTGTCAGTTAAGTTGACTTGAACAGTTTAGGAGTCCTTAACATGTTCCTCTGAAGGAGGATAAGAAACAGAAATGTAGAGTTTTCCCTATCTGTTTAAAGTGTCATGGTAGCAAGCCAATAATACAGGACAGTATAGATGCACAGGATAAGACACATGGGATGTGGTTAAATATAGGTTAAATTTATTATGGGAGAAGTCATTTACATAAGGAACCTATGACCCCCAAGTTCCTGTTCCAAGGATCCACACCAGGAGAAACCCCAGTCCTAGCCTTCCCCTCATCATGTCCCTACAAAAGTACCCAAATGGGCGTGGTCAGTGCAAGGGGTGGATATCTCACTATAGGACAGGATAAGGAGGATGCAATAACTTAGATTGCCTTTGACTTGCTTTTCAAAGTAGGGCCCGAGACAGCAATTCCTATACCATTGAAAATTTATTCATGGTCTTGATTTGTAATCTGTATCTTTAAAATATCCCACGTGGCTCATATGAACATTATGAGACCCAACCTGCTTATATGAACATACTCTTTTCCTAAAGCTTTGTCCTGCAAATCCCAGACAGAGGTGCTCATTGCATTCAAACATCCTGGTTCCATGCCACCCAACTTGACATTAAAGACATTTAGTGGGTTTATTTATTTTGTGAAAAGATGAAAACATGGATGATGTGTATTTGACCTAACTCCAAACTAAAGATTTTGTTCATAATTAAAGATGAGGATATTATCCCTCGTCATACTTAAATAGTTATAAACAACAAAACTTTTTCTTAGCTAAATTAAAATTTTTATTTTTTTTAAATTTATGTGTGTGGGCATGTCTGTGTGCAAGTATTATCACATGTTAGCATACAGGCCACATCCTCAGCGTGCACAGAGGAGGGCATCAGCACCCTTGGAGCTGGAATTACAGGTAGTAAAAAGATGCTTGATATGGGTGCTGGGAACTAAAGTTGGGTTCTCTGGGGAAATCAGATACTCTTAATTGCTGAGCTGTCTCTCCAGGCCCCTCTTGATCTAAATTAAGTTGTTGAAGGTCCTCTTCAGCACTGAGGAATAGTCTGGGATCTTATAAAAATAATAAAACGTTAGTAGTGTGGACACACTTGCTCCCAGATTTGTTTTGTTTTATCTGGACAATGCTAAGAAGGAAATTATATCTGTCTAGGAATCTGGAGGTCACAGCATATATTTGGACCTTCTGGTCATTACCTGTCATATACATTTATCATATATTTTAAAGTTGGTCCTGCAAATTAGACACTGGTTTGTGATTGGGAATTCCAAGTAGCAGAGGGAAGAAAATGTTTGGTTAAGAAGTCCCATAATGTACTTAAGTACCATAATGTGGAAGTACTAGAATGTGAACAACAGAGCCCTGATCCAAGAACGGTTTTAAGCTGTCGACTCTTCATCTGTAGAATGGGACCAACAAAATTTGGTTACAAGTTTTAAAGGTCAAATTTATTTATTGGGTCATGAAATAACCTAGCGAAGAGTCTAATGACCAGGGTAAGGATCATTTGGCATATCTGTTTCCAAGCCCTCCTCATTCATTCCATAGTAAAGGCTGTATTCAAGGTAGTTCTTGGATATTACTTGGGATGTTACAATAAGTAGTCTTGGGCCCTGTTGGACTATGCAGGTGAATAACAATGATGTGACCTGGGTGGTAGGCAATTTTGATGCTGAAGGTGTTAAAATCTCAGTAGCTGTCTACATGGGGGCTCTTCAGAGAAGACTTGAATGTTAAGGCTCAAGCTTGAATGTTAAGGCTTAAGTTCAGTGTCTTTGTTTGGCAACACTAAACAGGCGTCACTACTGAGAGAATTGTGTCCTGTTCTAGAAGTCTATGCCCTGTCTCCTCATCTTTTCATTCAGTGGCTTTAATGTGTGTTGCATGGTAATCAACCACATTGAGTAGATCAGCTTTATCTTGTGAGTCTCATAGAAAATCATGATTCTGAGGGTTACCTTGGCCATAATACCATTTGAGACATCTAGTGCCTGCTAGGTTGCCAGAGTAGTGCAACATGATCAGAATCTGAAAATTTCAGACTTTTCCCTGGTTGGATACATTTTAGATTCTATTTCTTGAGGAAATCTCTGAGAACTTCTGTCTTTATCCCTTCTCAGTCCCTTCTTCTATAATGATGCAAAATTACAATCTCTGGTCTCATTGATGTTATGTTCTAATAAATATACAGTATCAAGAGTGTGTGAGACTTTCTGTGTTCATAGAACTTAAATTCCAAATAACACACTTCTATTCTTCGTTTTTATAGCTGGCTTCCAGGACAGAAAAAGCCTTAACATATAGAGCACTAGAGACAGATTTCTTGGAGAATACCATCCATCACCAAACTGTAGCCATTGTTACTCTTTGCTTATCTCTAAGTTAAAAAATACCTCTTTATGAAGTAGAAATTTAGAAATATCGATCTTTCTCCAAGATGACAAGTGAAAGGGCAGGGGATTGGTGAGTGAGGAAGATAGAAGAATGAGCTTGAGTAGTAAGAGTGTGCCTGTGAGTAAGATACAATGATGTGTGTATAAAAACCATCATAATTAGCCATTATTTTGTAAACTAATAAAATTTAGTTTTTTAAAAACTAAATTTATTGTAAAACTTATAAAAAATGACAACTATAGATAAACTTTTAGTTTTTTTTTTTTTTTCAGAGAAGAAGAAAGGAAAAACAGTTGGGTGGTAAAAAGTTATGGAGGATCTGGGAGAAGTTGAAGGATTAAGAAGATGGTAAAATATATTGAATGAAAAATAATAAAAATTGATGAAGCTCTGGGCTCATTTCCCATTGCCACATAAATCACTATGGTAACCCAAGTCTGTAATATTAGCATTTGAGGGTAAGAAACTAGAAGATCAGGAAAAAGTTCATGGTTATTCTTAGCCCCATAGAGGGCTCATGGCCA